ATATTAATCCTTCACTTTCTCCCTCCCAACGATTATTGTTCATAAAAATAATGAAATAAAAATTAGTAAATGGTCAGAACTCGTAAATCAATATATAAATAAACATTATATTATATACATATACAGTCGACTCTTGATAATTCAAAGTTGACGGGATTGTTGAAAAATTTCGAATTACCGAGGGTTCGAATTATTGAGTAGTTCGAAAAAACGATAGAGCAAAAAAAAAAAATTTGAATTACTGAGTTTAGAGAAAAATTTTGTTTTTTATTGTACACAATTGTTAATTATTTCAGCAAATTAGGTGGTATTAGTTATTTATTTTTTTTAAAATGTAAATGTTAACTATACAATAATTATACTATGTAAATTAAATTTTTATTATAAAAAATTATTATTTTTTTCAGTAATCTGTAATGATTTTCTGCTTTATTGAATTTATTTTCATTTTTTCAATTAAACGCACTCATCACAAGAATTTTAAGCTGGGTTTACACGACGAGAATCTGATGCGCGAGTCAAGCGAGGATGCCTCGTGGCGAGCGGAAGCTTAGTCGGTATTTGGACGCGCGTCAAAAAAGATTCGCACATTTGTTTCGCGTCGTGTGAACTACTTCTTTGAGCGTTTTGCCGCCATCGTTGGCTCGCATAAACTGTAGCTCACCCTGAATCACATTGCTTCGTGCATAGATACGTCTCGTGTAAACATTCAGGTGAATCAGATGTCTCACGAATCTTGCCTCGAGCATCAGATTCACGCCGTGTAAACCCGGCTTTACAACTGACCAAACGAAACTAAAATAAAACTACATTCGGCTGACGGCTATCGAAGAGATACATTACGATCAGTGACGATTAAGAAATAAAATGATAAATTTCTACACGACTGTATAGTAAATTATTAACAAAAAGACTATAAGAATACAGATAAAATAAATTTGCTGAATATACTTTGAATTGCCGAGCGTTGAACGGATGATACTTCGAATTGTCACATGTTAGTAGCAAGTTTTCCCAAAATTTAATTTCGTATTACCGAGTGTACTTAAATGCATTGTTTTTATTGGAATTACCGCTTGATTTTCAAGGGACCAAGCATTTACTTTGAATTACCGAAAGTTTGAATTATCGAGAGTTGACTGTATATATATTACATTAACATTATTTATACCTATGTAATTAATAATATATGCTTTTACTTTATTGTTAATCATTTAAAATTACTCATTGGAATTACTTCACGAGCGCATTATACCTATGCCATTATAATCACCTTTAATCTAATGCAGAAATAATAATAAAAAACACGATTTCCATTAGACCAATGTATTTGGTCCAACCTCGTTTTCTCCAAAAATGAATCTTACTCAGAATATGTTGAGTTTTATAATGAATAGCTTTTGAAAGATATATTTTTCAATATACCGACATTGTCGTCCATTGTAGATAGCATCTGAATTTCTAATTATCTACCGAGTAAACTGTGGTACGCGAACTTCTTGGGGGTGCTCGAGATTTTTTTAAGGGGTACGGGTCTGGTCAACAAACCTTTAAATTTAAATAATTTATGTGGAAATCGGTTATTCAAGTTTAATCTATGTTAAAAGTAGATATAGAAACAAATTAAATATTGAAGATAATTTAAGATTGTATTTAACTAAACTAGAACCCTATATTGATCAATTGTGCCAACAAAAACAAACTCACACTTCTCACTGATTTCATTGAAAGTAAGCTGATTGTTTTTAACATTTTTTGTGTGTTAGTTTTAAAGAAATAAAAATATATGTAAGTTTTTAAATTTTTTATTTTAGTTTACTAAATAAAAAGGGGTACAGTGTTTAAAAAAGTCTGAGAATTCTTGATCTACCTTATTGTAGTTTGATAGAAACTTAGAATATTACTCTAATATTCATTATTTTCATGTACCTATACCGAGTGATAGGAGTAACTTTTTTTATTCAATTTTGAAAAAAAAAATTCCATAATAATCATAAACTATCTGTTTTATAAATATGTTTTTATTGTGATTAAATTGTTAGGTAGTATATTCTCACCAACAATCTCTCCCTTAATCCATATATCTGCATATTATAATTATATAGGAACTATTTTCGCACATAGGTCATTCTTTTTTCAAATAAATCCTCTTAGAGTCATAAGTTTAATTTATTATGAAAATTAATGAATTACTTCATTATAAAAATTACTCTGTTTAACCATATTAATACATACATAATTTATGATCATAGATAAAGTTGTGTAGTATGTTTAGGCGTGTGTGGGGGGGGGGGGGGGAGAGAAAAGGGCACGGTCGTCTGCTGCCCATCTATTGATTTAATTTTTTCTTATAAAGTTTTAAAAAAATTATAATATAATTTTATATATTAATAATATGTAAACATTGCGTGTCCCGTGTACGATGTTAGTTTGTCCAGTTTCGCGTATCGCGTGCCCCGTAAGGTACCCGTAGTGATAATGAGTCATCAGTGGGACGTCTTAAAAAAAGTTATAGCTTTTACACCCGATAACACTAATAAAAATGTTGGAAGTGTTAATTGAAGAGGAAAAAACTATGTTTTTTACAAGTTAAAAGAATCAATTTACACACATTTGATTGGTATAGATTGTGCAGCACATATTTTAAATAACTCAATATAAACTCCTACTGATACTTTGCCTATTGAAATTCAAGTGGTAGTATTAGGTACATTCAAAAGCTCATTGGTTATCATTATATCTGGGGTCGACAAGACTTATAGAAATGTTTGAAGGATTGAAGTCTTATTTTTTATCTATTGAAAAATGTCCGGCCATGCAAAATTTTTTTTTTGAAAATCCATTGTCATTTCTTACAATATTTCTTCAAACTCAATGTGAATTTTTTTTCAATACAGTTAAAAGTGTCAAAACAGCCAATTTGTCTATCGTTGAAGTAAAAAGTAATATAGACACTTTACTACTAAAAATTAAGTCGCGAAATATTAACAATTTTATGATGATTATGGAAACTGAATTACTAAACAATTTAAGAGATGAATTATTTTTAATAAAAAATACATGTAATAACTTCCTGACAATTAATTTTGACACGTATTCAGATTATATTACTGAGTGGACAAATCCAACACTATGCAAGTTTAATGTAGTTTTATGGATTACTTTAAAAAATATAGAATAAAATTTCTCCGAGAAAAACATTTAAAATACAATAAAATTAATAAAAAATGTAATCCCTAGTCTTACATTTAATGTATTATTGCATATTATGAAGAATTATTTGACGAATTTACTATTATTAAAACCAATTTACAGAAAAAACTAAAAGATTAAATCTTTTAACACATTGGATGAAAAATGGACCTATGTTTTTCAAATAGCAGATATCGATGGAGACTTTCCAAATTTAAAAATCGTTATGGAATTTTTAATCTGTATTCCAGGTTGTAATGTAAACGTAGAACGAATTTTCTCCGACATGAATAACTTGTGGACTAATGATAAAAGCCAATTTGATGTTAAAACTGTTAAAGCCATGTTAGTCCTAAAATATTTTTTCACCGAGAACTGTTCTGTTCTATTGGGAAATAAGAAACTTTTAAAACGTTTACATTCGTCCAAAAAATATTTGCTCAAGGAGTCGAAAACTGTAATATTATAATAAATTATATATATTAATTAATAATAAATATTAATATATTTTTTTATATATTATTATATTTTAATACTACAATACCCAAGCATCAACTTCGAACACCAGTTAAATTATATTACACTATATTATAGTTATAATAGTTTTTACTAATAAGTATAATAAAATATTTATAATTTTAAAAATCTTGATTAAAATCAAAAAAAAAAAAAAAGATTATTTTAGTAAGTTACATTAGTTAGTTATCAATTATCATTAAGATTTAAGACTTTAAATATTTAAGCATTTCATCAAAAATAGATGTTTATAATAAAAAATTCTTATCTTTGTCCCATATTTTATATCTGGTTACCCTAGATATACTTAAATAAATTAATATGGGGCAGCATATATTTGTATGTATTCATATATATATATATATTTTGTCTTCCCTACCATTGAAGTCTGTGCGCTTGCCTATGGTAGTGTATAAATACTTAATGATATCAGATTATGGATTCTAAAGAATATATAATGTAGACAAATAATAATACAAATGTGTATTAAATACAATACTATAAATTGTATAGTTTTGACCATGATTACTCATTACTATATACATAAGTATATGCACAATAATTAGTTAATTTAATGACACAATGATTCAATCTTAAAAGGCACTTTGCTACTATTCATTAAAAAATAGGATTTAAAACAAAACTCAATAAATCATGGATCATATTTATAAAACATGTGTATCAGATATGAAAGTGGTAATAAAAAAAAAAAAAAATTTCTTCATTATACATTTGAACAGGGGTGTGCTAAAACATTTTTTCGGTGTAGGGGGTTTTCAATATTTTTATTACTATGTGTTTCAAATGTATTTATTTGATGAAATAATAATTAATTTTATAGTTTTAGATAAGTTGACAAGGGTTATATAAATAATCCTGTCAAATATTTATGATATTAAACTTAAATTATATATAAATATTAAGCAAATTTTTTTTCTTAATTTCATTAAAATTTTGGATGATATAAACATCCTATATAAATCCTCCTCATAAGGCACACCCCTGCATCTGTAAGAAATTCATGTTATAACCATAGACAAAGTTAAATATTATACATAAAAAATTCGTAAATAATGTTATATTGTATTTTTCATTAGTTATTAAATAAAACATAATATTTTTCAACTGACTAAATATTAAAGAAATACAATTTTTTAACAAATCATTTCATGATTTTTAAAGGTTAGGTGGTATGTAATAGCATTTCAAGGGAGTTTTTTAATATCTATTGTCATATATGAAATAGTGCTTTGCAGTACTATTTATAATTTTAAATAATTATTTCACAGGAATTCATTTTATATATATTTATTTAAAGTCAATATTATATTACAGAATACAGAAAACAGAGGTACAATTGTAAAACCAATATAATAGTTGTTTACTTTGATTTTACAAAATAGGATTTTATAGTAACTATAACATAACCTAAGTTAATAAAGAAATTGCACTCAAGGTTTCAGAATTTGTATGATCTGTAAAATAAAATGAAATAAAAATTAATATTAAAAATGGAAACAAACACAAAAAATACATTAAATTAAAAATAAATTCCATAAATAATTAAGGTTTTTGATCCAAGTAATAGTAAGTTAAGTATAACATACCATAATTTAGATACTAAAAACCATTTAAAAATAATTTTTTTTTTAGATTAACTAAAAAACACTTTATTTTTCAATTAAATAAAACAACTACATGAACAGTTTTAGTATTACTTCCGATTTATGCATGAATAATAATATTATTTATATGGTTTATGAAAAAAAACCCCAGGCTTGTTGACAGGCTATAATGCAGTCAAGGAAATTAGTAATAACTACCACAGAGTCCTCTCTGGTGAGTTCCGCAATCATGCTTTGAATTTATTTATTCAAATATAAATTAAAAAAAACCTTATTTTTCATGATCAGCTGGTTTTAGTTATCAAAACTATACACAATTTTAAATAAATTCAACATGTAATTGCAGAAGTTGCTAGGGAGAACAGTAAGGCAGTTGTTACTTATTTCCTCCACCGCATTAAGAATTGTGAACAAGCCAAAGGAAGTTATTTTTATAATATTATATTTCATATGTTAATCAGACATCTTTTTTTTCTTAAAAAAAAAAAACTTATTTTAGCCAATTTTTAAAACATTATTTTTGGGATATCTTATATTACCAAATTAATTTCAAAGGGTAAACCATAGTGGACATTTTAAATATTCCATTTAAATAAATATATACATGGCATTTCAAAGATATTTGAAAAAAAATACTTACATAATTGAATTATAACACACTAGAATGTCTAGAATTGAACTATACTTGATAGATTAACCTATACAATATTTATAAATCTTGGATTAAGATCTTACTTTTTTAAATTTCTCATAGCTCTTATGTCTTCAGTCACATTTTTACTAATCTAAGAAATCTAATTAAAGAATACATCTGAACTATAACAAAGTTTTTGTTGCTTACTTAGTATCAAGAGGTATTATTTTAAGAATATTAGAAAATAAATTCATATTGAAATTTGTCTACATATGAGTGACAGATATTATTGCACAATAGCCACTATCAACTTCTTTAACTGGTCACCCAGTTTAAATTATATACAAATAGTATTGTTCATATAGAATATAAAATAGATAATGGAAAAAATACTAATATTTATATCATGAATTACTAATCTACAATAATAAGCTATTTTAATTGTTATTAATGAAATATCTTACTTAAAATTTATTTAAAAAATGCTTGTTATAATTATTATAACAATGATAAAATAATGTATTATTTTTGGTATTCAATTTGTATGACATGCTCAGAAAAATCTATTTTTATATCAATATTTTCATATCATTAAATATATTTACATGATAAATGTTCTCAATATATTTAAATAATTTTGACTAATATTTTTTGATTTGCCATGTATAAGAAAATACTTATCTTAAACAGATGTTTTTTTAAAATAATAATAATTTAATTAATTTACTAAAATCTGTATTATAAATATTACTAAAGATTTAACCTTATATAAATAGGTAATTAATTTATAAAATAATTTAAATTAACTTGGAAGTAAGGAAACACACAGGAATGTGGGATTCTCACCTTTTAATACTGATGTCTAGGCTGATACATCCATCAATCATCATATAAATACCACACGCTCTCGCTCACATGTCGTAAACTGCTAGAAAATTCTCACATTACATCAAAGTAGTATCGAATATTTTGGTAGAAAACTATACTAATGTAATTATCTATATAATTATAAATTATGACACTCAATGGAGAAATTAAAAAAAAAAAACCAAAACACACAGTATGTATAATTAACACTCACAAAATATAAGTCAAAAATTACAATTTATTTGTTTTAAAACATAATACTAAATGAATTGTAATGTGATAAACTGTTTTGAATAATGAGAACCAGTTAATAAATATGACTAGGATAATGGAAAGGATAGGATGGAAAGGAAAGAATCACACCTTAGGTCAATAGTTAACCATCACAATTCATATTAATTTAGTCTAAAATTAGCAGATTACATTAATTACCCCGACGTTTCCAGTCTTGTACTTTCCCATATGCACGATGGGTTTGGTAAGAGATTGGTTGTGTTTGATATGCAACTTGGTTAAGTGCAGCAGCCAGCATTCCATTTGTCAGAACATTACTCATATACTGTTGTTGACTATTAACTTGTTTATCCTGTACAAATATGTTATCAGCAAAGTACACTTTTAAAAAATAAATTATTTTTTAAATATACCCTGCTTTGGTCAGATTTAGGATTAGCTTCAGATATATGAAGTGATACGCCTTTAACGATATGATCTTCATCACAAAGACTTTGTGCTACTGAAGCATCATTAAAAGTTATAAAACCAAATGCTCTAAATGGTTTTGGTATGAACACATCAGTGATTTCACCATACTGAGAGAAATAAGTACTTAAATCTGGTTCACTAATTTCTTCAGTGAGACGACCAACAAATATCTTGTGAGGTACTTTAGAATAATATCCTTCCTAATTAAATATAACAATACATTTTTACTTTAAAGAAAATAATTTAAATTAATAAATTATCAAAACAATTTTAATCTAATAGTTTTATTTACTAATAAAAATATGTTTTAAGAATAAACTTTAAAAAATTGTAATACTAATGGTTATAGAAAAAGATAAATTGACATGTAGTATTTTTTTTTTAAAGTTAGCGAAAACTACAATTTTTTAAAGATAGTTATTGAATTTTATTAACTGAACCCTGAAAATAATTAGTGTAATATATTTAATATGCTTAAATATACTTTAATATCAGTATCATTACTGGTGTAAAAATAAAATTTTCTATAAAAAATTAGGAAAAAGTTGTGCTTCATTATCTTACATTTTTTTTTATTTATGTAACAAAATATCAACAAATTGGTAATTTTATTCCGAAAATATTTTATTTTTAATCATAATCAACTTAAACAGTTAATTGAAGGGGGGGTAGCAGTTCTTTCTCTCAACATGATCATTCTGCCTAGTATGTGAAATCATTGGTGACCGGGTTTGAACCGGCAACAGTGCTTTTTAGACACAGCTTTCTTATTCCACTCAAATATACTTACACCCCTAGTACTATAAAAGGTACATAAAATATTAAAATATGATTATTCTTAAGAAAAATTAACACATTTAATACATTAACACGTTGACTACCAAGCCTAATTTTCATAAACTGTCTTTCTGTACCATGAGGGTACTCGAGTTCTCTCAACAGGTCTATTGTTGTGTACCGTGAGGGCACCCGGGTTCTCTCAGTATTTCTTGTGTATAATTTAACATTTACGCCATCTACTTTTATAAAATTGTACTAAATAGCGTATAAATCGTCATTAATATACGTTATCTACCTGTGGTAACTGTGGGAGTCCTCGGGTTCTCTCAAAAAATAAGTTATTTGATATTTTATAAAACAAATATTATTCACCCAGAATTTAAACAATTTTATTAATTTAAACAGCCTTATGTTTTTTTTTAAATTCATTGATGCATCAGTCTTTGATTACATTAAAAAATAAAACAAATAAAACAAAAAAAATATATCAAAACAAAATTAAAATGTTATAGATACCTATAAACATAAGTAACAAATAAAAAAAACTTAACATTTCTGTCTTTAATAGTGACTCACTATTCAAAATTAAATACAATTGCAAAAAAAAAAACCTAATATTAATTAAATTTAGGAATTATTAAAATAATTATTTGTGAGTATTTTGAAAACATTCCAAGCAAAAAGCTGGTTTATTTTCACAAGAATTACAGAATGTTATTGTGGTCTTGCAAATTATACGATAATGATAAATAAATATTAGAAAAATAAGAAAACAAATGTTCGTGGAGCAATAGTCAATCTATAATCTAAATTATAAGAAAACATATACTGAGAGGCCTTGGGTTCTCTCAATGTTCCCTATGCACAATTGTATCATTTGTGTACCACGAGAGTACCCGGGTTCTCTCAGTTAATTATTGATAGATAATTAGTAATCATTCAAAATAAATATTTTTTCATCTGAGGCATTTTTTCGTATCATCAATAATTAATGAGTTAATGATTTGGTACATGAATTTAAATATTTAAAAATTGTCATGGTACGCTAAAGTTGGAACGGTGAGAGAACCTGAGCACTCTCATGGTAATCAACGTGTTAATAAACTTCAAATTACTGTTTCTTTGGGTATAAATAAAATATAACTATAATGTTAGGTGTGGTATAACAATATGATGAACGCAAAAAATAATGGTTATTTCTAGAAAAATTAATAATATAGAATTAATAAATGTACAAAATAATATTACTTTTGAAGCAGGTATTTTGACTTCAACCCATCGATTATTAACATAATGTCGTTGTCCAAGAGCTTTTGCTTGAGAACTATAATCTTCATAGCGAATAAAACCAAATCCTTTTGAATTCCCAGATGCATCTCGCTTAATCTGAACAATCCCACTCATCAATTACATTTCAATAAAAAATGTTGCGATTAAGTACCTGAACCATGACTAGTTTTCCGAACTGTACAAAATATTCTCTCATTTGAGTTTCTGTCAATTGGTAAGGTAAGCCCAAAACAATCAAATCTGTACACATCATAATGTTATAACCTTTGGATGGTTTGGTGTCTATTTCATCAAGTTTCCTTTTGTCGCCTAAAAAAATAAAGTTTTCTCTATAGTGAAGATCAATAAGAATCATAAAGCTACACACCTTTGGGATGTACACAGTAGAATTTGTGACCAGCCCAGCTGCCTTCGGGCGCATGAAATTTACCGTCGTATAATCTGAGTGCTCTGTATGGTGAATAAGAATCAAGGCGGAATTTGAGACCAGTAACTCCAGGAAAATACGCGCTCAGAGTGGCCGTTGATAGGGTACCATCGCTTTCCAGTGGTATCTCCATAAAATCTTCGCCTTCACACTCGCACACAGGAATATACTTTTCAACGTTTTCCATCGTGTGTGAAGTAAGTGTATATAAATAAGTGTTTGTTTATGCACTACGTACAATAAGTTATTCTCCGAGGAAAAAAAATGTTGAAATTAAGTCGGTAACGTTCGAGAGTAGTTATGGTGCGACGAAACACTATCGAACGGCAAATTTGAATACAACCAAAAATAGTAACAATTATTAATATCGACTGAGGAACATAAGCAGAGGTAAAAAATATGAATCGTATTATAATAATTACAACATTAGTAATATCAGCAACGGTGAGCATAAATCATTTGTAAATATGTTTGTATAGTTTAGAGCTTAGGCATTATATGATACACAAAATTACTATGTAGCCGTGCCGTACTTCAATTGGTAGGAAGCATCTTATCGAACATTGGTGTCTTGTGCAGTCCGATGTAATCAGGTTGGCAGCACTAGATAGTGATAACCTCAAAGAGCGGTCCCGATCTGGTTGGATTCAAGCAAAATAACAAGTCACTGAAATCTATTGCTACAGATAGGAAAGGCTTATAGAATTCGCTAATCATTAATATTATTTTCCAGTCGTTACGTTGTTTTTGTTTTCGATTCATTTTGTGTCTTCTTGTCTACCGATCGTTTTCTGTTACGTACGTGAAAACAAAAAAGAAACGATTTACACACACCATGGTGAGTTACGTTTAACATTGTTCTACTGCAACGATGTAATGTTTACGTATAACTGTTTTCGTGACCAATACCATCTATTATGATTATTCAGTATTCTGTTTCATATTAGTCTCTATTCATGTTACCTTTGTCGTCCCAATATTCGGTTAATATAAATATTATATTATGGACCTCTAAGTGAACAAATTTTTGTGGTACCCAACAATGGTTCTACAAAACCGATGATAAATAATTTGATTATGAATTTATGTTTGATAAGTATGGTTCTTCTCTGTTCCACAAGACTACCTTCTTTTGGAAAATGTAACAATCCTGTTACTAATGAATCTTAATTTGTCACTTTACAGACAACACAATTTTTTAAAAAAAATCATTTAACAAATCACACTTAGTATCGTTTAGAGCATAAATTTCATGCTCTAAAAGTAATATTACTGAATCTTCTTCAATCTTAGATGGAGACCAAATATCCATAATATTAGTATTTAATAAATATTAAAATATAAATTAATGTAAACCTATTTTGAATCTTCAAGTATGAAAATTTCAGTGAAATTGAACAATTTTTAACTATAGAATAATTAATATATACTGAAAAAACTAAAACATAAAGATATAAATTATAAATTTGGCACGTAGTTATTATTGAAATACGATGTTTAAACGTAATTGAAGTTATGGTAGTTACAATGTCAGATGTAGTTGTCATGGATGTCACTAGAGTCCAAATTTTGGTGTAGCAAAGATTGTTTTTAGAAAGTGAAAAAATAATTTTTTATAAGTTTAATATGAAAATTGGCTTATTAAACTGATTAACTCTTCTTCATAAATATTGGTATGACATATAATGTATATACTGTCTTATCATCCATATTGGATTAAATATATACAATTATTTTGGATACAGTCACAATAATAGATAGTTTATGTTCGTATACACATGTTCGTATAATAAAAATTAATTTTATTTTTAATATCTCTGACTTTTTGGTGGTAGCAAAAAGATACCCATGCTAACCAACAAACATTTCTGGGATATCAAAGATACCCCTTAGTGATACATGTGGTAGTCGTAATAATAGCCATTGTCTTGTATAATAGAAATGTTTTAGTAAACACAATTTTTTACTTTTAGTCATAATTTTGAAAAAGTAATTTTTGACTATTGTTTGTGTCTGGTTAAATATTATATTATAGTTTTTTAAGTATACAATATTTTATTGAATATTTAGAATTACATTAATGAGATACTTTTATAAATGTTCTATTACCAATCATCGAAACATTTTAATTTTTATATTTTTAATGTTTTATATTTTTTTTTCAGTTTCGTAATCAATATGATAGTGATGTTACAGTATGGAGTCCTCAAGGCCGCTTACATCAAGTAGAATATGCTATGGAAGCTGTAAAATTAGGTTCAGCTGTTGTTGCATTGAAGAACAAAACACATGCTGCCATTGTTGCTCTTAAGCGTGCTCCAAACGAACTATCAGCTTATCAAAAAAAAATTATTCCTGTAGATGATCATATAGGTTTTTCATTTTCTGGTTTATTGGCTGATGCACGTATTCTTAGGTAAAATATTGTTTTAATTAAGTTAAAATTGTTTTTAATGATTACAAACTTTTAATACGTTGAATGCCATACGGCTGTCGGCGGCCGCATAAAAATAATCGATAATTTTTAGGCCACCGGCTGCCGCACCATATCATTTGTAGGAAGCCATACGACCGTGGGCTGCTGTAAATTCTCTACATTTTGGAATCATAATAAATATGTTGGCGCTGTAGTTATACCTTTTAAAGTCAAACTGTGACACAGTAGAAGAAATTGCCATTCTATTGGTATATTGCACACCCATATACGATGTTTTTTTAGACATAATTTTTATTACTCTAACTGAACATCAAATTAAAAATACATTTTACTTAAAACTTCTAAAATAAATTTTTATTTTTAATAAAACTTAATAAATAAGTACTAAGATCTTTAAAAATCATATTTTATAAAATAAAAAAAAAAATTTACAGTATCTTTTCAAACTATATTTAAAATAAATTTATATTGTTTTTTTAAAAATTAAAATATTAATCCTTTTTTCTATGATTTTTCATAAAACAATCCACACACGTATACACATCATATTTCTTACACAAAGTTGTAACTTTTTTATCAATATAGTCATTGACTTTACTAAAAGAACTGAAGTCGTCATCTATGTTATCTAAAAGTTCTCGTACAACACTTTCGTCACAGTCTTTAAACCGTTTTGACCGAGAGCACATTTTACATTTAAAAAAACTTAATATCAGTGGACAATTTGACGTTAGCACGCTGGCGGATGTATGGCGTCTAATAAAACTATGTATTATATTAGCGCCATCAAGCTGCCAGCAGCTGTACTATTATTATAATTTATTAATTATCTTCAAAGAAAAATAAACCAATTAATATCGGAATCATATTTGTAGGCTTTTTGGTTCTAATATCATTCGGTATATTTTACGAATATTACCTGGAATATACATACAGCATTATAAAAATAAATGACTGTGAGGCCACCGGCAGCCGTACGGTAGTCAACGTGTTAAGTGTAATTAATTAATGGTTTTCATGTCACACTTATAGTAAATATATGAGATCAGAATGTTCATCGCACAAATTTGCTCATGGTGAAGATCTCCCAGTAAATAGATTAATGACCAAAGTAGGTAACAGAATGCAATTATGCACACAAAGATATGATAAACGCCCGTATGGTGTTGGTTTACTTGTAGCAGGATATGATGTAAGAACAAATTAATTCAATATTAAATATATAACATTTTAATTATAATTGAGTTTTGTTTATTGCTATAGGATAATGGTCCTCATATTTACCAAACATGTCCTTCTGCAAACTATACAGATTGTAAAGCTATGGCTATTGGATCAAGATCACAAAGTGCACGTACATACCTAGAAAGAAATTTAGAAGCTTTTAAGGAGACAACTTTAGAAGAGTTATTGAAACATGGCATGAGAGCTTTGAGGGACACTTTACCTAATGATGTCAATCTTACGTCAAAAGTATTACACATTTTTGTTGAAATCTTAGAATTAATAATTACATGTATTTATTTTTTAGAATGTATCAATTGCTGTTGTTGGCAAAGGTCAGTTATTTGAAATTTTTAATGAAGAAAAAACTCAAGCACACTTATTATTAATTGAAGGCGAGGAAAGAAGAGCTCCAGTGCCATCCAGTGATTCTGCAAGCAGTGGATCTCAGCCACCACAGGATGGACCAGGTGCTCCTCCTAGTGATGCTGTACCAGCAGTTGCAATGGAAACAGAATAATTGTAATGGAACTAAGGCTAAATATTATCAATATAAACTTTTTTTTATGTATGTCTCGATTAATTAAAAAAAACAATGGCTATGAGATTTGTACTATATTTAAAACAAATTATAAAAACTAAATTACTTTTCAGTAAAATACTTGGTATACATTTGTTTAAAAATTATTATAGTTCCTTTCTTACTTTTTATGCTTATAGTGAACAAGAACAAATGTGTTAACATTTGTACCATTATGAATTCTTTGAGAAGCAAAATTTTAAAATTATGCCTGAAAGATTCATTGCTACTGTTGAAGAATATTTTTATTAATATATTAACAATTTATTTGTTTTATATTTGATGATTTGATATTTAAAAAATATTTAAATACTATGATATTTGTCACATTAAAAAAAGAAAAAAATATTATGAGCTTCTAATAATGTGCCACATTTGTTGGTATTCATTTTAATATTTTAGTGTAGCATATTTCATTAAAAAAACAATTTGTGATAAAATAAATTGTTTATTATTAATTTATAGTTTAATTGACATTGTTGTAGTAAAATACAATATTAAAAAGGGCAATACTCTCAGGTCAGATGAGATACAAAGACTGGTAAAATATTTTGATGAATTAGTCTTTTAAATTTAAAATTAATGTACTATTGCTTCCTTTAATGATTCTGATTAATAGAGGGATGCGTTATTTTAAATTACTAAAGATAATTGATTCAATCATACTAAGTGTCTGTAAAAGGTGGGTTTGATATCTTAACATTTATATCAAACTATAACTGATTAAAACTTGAGAAAATTCGAAAATTTCATGTGCTTATTAACTGCATATATTTCATGCAGATATTTTTAAATTTTATAAAACATATTTAAAATATAATGTATAAATACTCAATAAATGTTTAGAGTCTCTATGATGTATGTATCTTAAAAAACTTTTGGCTATGAAGAAAATATTTTATCTAATTTTCAATTTTAAAAATTGAAAATATTTCAACTTAAATTTATATCTAATAAAATGTTTTTCGTGATTTTTGTAGAGTTTTGTTATATATAATATTCAATTGCTCTTAAATATTTTTTTTTTTTTTACTAACCAATTAGAACTTAGCACTATACTTTTTCAAGAAATTGTATAAAATAAATATAATTTTATCAATATTTGATGAAAAAAAGCTAAAACATAAAATTTAAAAATATTTAAATAGTTCAAAAAAATCCTAAATCTTTTGAAAATTGAAAACAGTAGTATTATAAAGTAAAAATGTCAAAACTACAGTTTTTAAGTTGAAATTAAAAAACCAGTATGATGTTAATGATGTCTTTAATTTTTTATTTGTTTTTATTAGTTCAGCATTAAAATGTTGTAATTTTTAATCAGTTGTTCGTAATTTTTAAGAAAATATTTTTGTAAATTTGTCAAAATCTCCTTCTGAAAGTAACAGCTAGACCAGCGGTTTCCAAAGTGTGTGCGTTGTGACGCCCTGGTACGCCGCGATGTTTGTACAGGGATGCCGCGCCGTCATGAAATAATATCTATTACAAAATTGTTCGTATGATATGACTTGGAGAAGAGCGCCCTGAAAAAGCCTTGAATTAAAAAGGGCGCCGTGAGTCGAAAAAGTTTGGGAAGCACTGAGCTAGACGTTTCCTATTAAAACCTATGATCTCGATGATAGGATCACAGATTATATGAATCAAAAATAATAATAAAAAAAAAAGATATTAAAAAATATGAAATTATATTCATATAATCTTTGATAGGAGCAGAGGCGTCATTGCAACTTTTGAAAGGGTGGGTCAACTGATTAAATTTGTCGACTTCATAATATTTTTATTATTTTTTATTATGGTTACCTATATATTTAAATATTTAATATTTATGGACGATAGAATATCAATGAAATATTTTTTTGGAACAAAACATGTAAGGATTAGTAATGAATAATGATGTCATGATGATAAACAAAGAACATGAAACGTTTCAATTTACTCAATTAAATAATAACATTAACAGGTTAGCGCCAAGATTTATAATTCAGTTTAGAATATAGTGCCATGTAGAGTTTATTGACCCTTCGATGTGACTTGTAAATAGCACCACGTAGGGTTTTGAAACCCGTCATGCAGTATTTGTTTTTGTTGCCACGTAGGGTCTCCAAAACCTTAATTTTACATGTTTTCTTAATAAATTCAAATAGAGCGTGGCCCGTAGGACAAGTTTGTAAAATGGTTCATTGAAATACCATGGCGTTTTAACTATATAGCCAAGTTATAATATAGTTTATATCAAAAAAATTGAATACTAGTTATTTTTATACGATTATTACTATTATATTATCTAAATATTCGTTCTCCTTCCTCTTCTCAGCTTACCCTTCCATTAAGGACCATTGCTGCCTTCAACAGGTCTCTCCATTTCTCTCTATTGTAAGTCAACTCATATGTTACATTCTGGTCTATGGCTTTCAAATCCTTGGAAACTACATCGATCCACTGGGCCCTGGGTCTTCCCAGGGATCTTTTTTTTTGTTCATTTTTTCTACGAGTACTTTTTTTATTAGTTGACTATCCGCTCTCCAAGTGTGTCCAAAATATTCGTTAACATTTACAAATTTAATATAATATTATAATTTTTACTCTATACTCATTTTTCTTCAAACGTTTATGCGTGTATCGAATACTTTTGGATAACATTGAACATGAGTAAACATAGTGCAAAAAATACATAAAGTGTTTAGAAAGTATAGTAAAAAAAAAAACGTAATAAAACCATAATTAAATAGTTGTGTAATTATTTCAATTGCACAATAGTAAAAAATGTAACTCGTCAACTAAATCACATTTTGAGTTGTAAATGTCCTAAAAACATTAAAGATGGTTTTAAATCTGATGCAACTCATTTAACTGATACAAGTATGTGGTATAAATTTTAGTTTTATAATATGATTTTATCACAAGGTAACTTAAAAACGGTTTTAAATCCACGGATACTTAATTTCTTAATGCTAGTTGTAGTTTTTTAATTACCTACTAAGTAGTAAAATATAGGTACAAAATTATCATTTATCCGTCAATTTAAAACCTTTTTAACGTCACTTTACGCATAGTTATCATGGTCATATATGGTGATTAGATATCCAGATACAGTTGAACCTCATTAACCCGAGCTAATTGGGGCTCTGGGTTGTCCGAATTAATGAAAGTCCGGAATAAACAAAATAATCAAAAATCTTAAATTATAAATTTAAAAAAAATGTATTGCATATTTTATTATACAAGTTTTAACTTAATACATACATGTATGCCTAACAATATGAAATCTAGAAAATAGTACATAATTGTATTATAATCATTAAGTACATAATACAGTACATATTAAGGTTTACCTTCATTATTCACACTTGACTTGCTTAAGCGTAATTACTGGTTTAAAAATACTGCTAATCTTTTGGGGTTGTCTTTCCTTTCTCAGTGATTTCTTTAATGATTAACTTGCGAAGTTGCCTTAGATGCTCGTAATACGCAGATACATATGTTTTCATCGTTGTTATCTTCTACGTATTTAATGACAATGTTTAGATAGTTTAGATAAACTAGTGTAATTTACGTATTTTAAACAGCTGTCCGGATTAAGCGAAGTCCGGACTAATGAGGTCCGGATTAATGAGGTTCTACTGTATTTAATGTAATAATTATTTATGAAAAAAATAGAGTAGGTACCTACTACCTACATGGTAGGTATATATAGTAAGTACCTATTATTTACATTCATTATTTATCAACCCTTATTGTTTTTGAAACTTAACATACTGAAATTTCGTAGTGTTAAATTTTACTGTATTTAAATCTTAACATGTAATTTTCTTGACAAACAAAATTTAACTAAAAATAAACTTTAAAAAATTAAAAATAAAACAAAATAAAATTCATTTAATGATAAATGAGTCTTATTAATTTGTTCTATCTAAAAAAATGTGAAGTATACATCAAAATTAAACATGTATAAAAGAAAAACAATTTTTTTAAAAATACTGAAATATTTAATAATATTATATTTCATGAAATGTTCAAACACTAATTATATTACGTTTCAAATAAAAATCAATTAAAATCCTTTGTGTTAAATGTTGACTACCATTGGAATGCAAATTTTTGCACGTGAAAAAGCACTTAATAAATACAATAATAAATAATACAATAAAACAATAATAAACTTCAAATTCTTACTTTTAATAAAAATCATAATGATCAAAATAACTTAGGTATATCAATAAAGATGACACAAGATCAATTTATTTGTTTTTGCGAAGGTGTGTTATTTTAAGAGAGAACGGAAATGTTTGACAAGATTGGAAGAATCTTTCATGACAATTATTTCAATATACAGTGGAACCTCGATAACTCGAACCTCTATAAGTCGAATTTTCGATATCTCGAAGGAATGCCTTAGCCCCTGGCTTCCGATATATGATATATGTGATAAATTTTCTCTATAATTCGAATTTCGCTAACTCGAATTTCTCAATAAGTCGAAGTAATTTTAGTTGAATTTTTGCTTATAACTCGAAGGTCAAATAACCAAGTACATATGTATGTATGTATTATTATAAATAACGATAATCGTAATCGAAAACCGATTAATATTATCAATCTTATCATAACCTATACTACTTAAAAGTTACAGTTATAAATTCAACGATATATGTAATATGTCTATAATACGATATAATGTCTATATCTCCGATAAGTTACGTTTATCTACTTTATTAGTGTATTTATTACTGGTAAAATTATACGTCAATTGAAATACGAAATGTATACATCGATATTTAATATAATGCTGACACAGCAAATGTTCAGTTTATTTTGTCAAGACAAGATGGAAAAAACGCAGTTTAAAGTCTCTAACTATCTTTTTATTCTTTTATTCTACTTTATTTATTACATTATACTTTTTTAACATTTTAATACAATATACATACCTATATAGTACATATATTATTAATTTATTAGTAAATACATAAATAAATAAAATTATAAAATTAAAGTCTTTGTGTTTTTAAATAAAAAATATTTTCGATAACTCGAATTTTTTGGCAGATTCGAGTTATCGAGGTTTTCCATAAGTCGAATTTTCGATAACTCGAATTTTTTTTTCGCCCCCAAGCGATTCGAGTTATCGAGGTTCCTCTGTATATCATTATCTTACCGTTTTTGTGTATTATTATAGGTGTTGAAACGTTTGCAGACCATCAATCTTCCACGAAATTCTTAAAAAAATTCCAAAACCTGCTCTCTTACTTATAGTATCGTTCGCTGTTGAATTATTTTCATCCCAAAAGATAATTTCATCAGCCATTCAAAGTTGTCAGTGCTATACAAACGTAGAAATCGAAATGATAGACACAAAGGTAAACGATAATCGAAATTAAAACATGACTCTTTAGGTATAACATTTTTGTCACACCAGTACTGAATGTTTGGTTTTCGACCACGGTCGAAGCGTTGGAATGTCTCATTTATCCGTCCAGCGGGTGGTAAGATGGGAATCCCATAATGGTGGGCAGTAAAGTGGAAATCCCAAAAATTACGGAGGGGGGGGAGGAAAAGTGAAAATCCCTATAACACCATGTAGTAAAGTGGAAATCTCCAAGAGCTCTGGCCACGTATTTCCAGCACTACCAGAAACTTAAATGTATACCATGGTCCGTACAAAACATAAACGTTCGGTTAAACCATATACACATATCACAACCTCCTTGTACGACGCATAAACATTTAAACATTTTTCGTTTTCACTGTTCCCACACAAGTGCTTTGGACGTTACGGATAAAATTTGTTTTGCGCGATTTATATAATAATTCAAATTAGAAAATGAGATCGTTTGCGCAAGTGTTACATTGCCGTTCAAATTATCCCATTTCGTGTTAACCGGAGCACCCGATAACGGTGTTGGCGTGTAATGTTCAAGAATTTTCGATCGTTGCGTTTATCACGATTATCACCGGTCCATGGACGCCATTACTGTCGGGACTTTTATCCACCGATACTTTCTCTGCTAAAGTCCGACACATCGTTTTTCCCGTTTCACCAGCCATGTGTTTTTGTGGTTGTGACATAGAACGGTGGAGTCGCCATTTCCGGAGACAACTTCGTGTGTGCGACAACTGTTCGAACAGTAGCTGACCCGTGTCCGCGAAATTTTCTTTCGGTTATCGTCGTGTGCGGAGAAGCCAGTTATTGTAAATTGAGACCGATTCCGCTGATCAACCGATTCTTCTGCGGTTATGGCGTTCGTCGCACGTTTGAACACGGTCGCGTGGGCATAACCACTCGAACGCCAGACCGTCCAAGGTATGTTCCGTTATATTTGTTGAAAATAATATATTTATTTTTATACGATTTGTCTTGTTATATTATTACAACGCATTTGGAGTATATGTAATTTTATTGTTATTTTAAGATTTATCATATTTATTATTACTTTTTTTGTTAATATACTGTGCGCTTTTGGCCCGTTTATTCCGGCATTTGTTATAATTTCATTAATTATAATTATCGTATAATTAATTATAATCTATATAATATAAGTGTTCTTTTTTATTGCAAACGGCGTGAGTACGTCACACAATCGAACCAGGGGTGGTTTGACTGCGAAGCGCGCAAACAAGCATAAATACGAAAAATGATAATCAGTACAGTAGTTGTAGTGAACCATTAACTTTACCATACATGGTTAAAATGGCAAATGCTGCTTCACTAAATCTATTGCCTGAAAAATCAAAAGAAAGGTATATAATGGCTTATGAAAAACTTTTAAAATTGAGAAAAAATAAATGAAACGAAATCGTTGTCAAAAAATGTGATTCTTACAAATTTAATAAAATTATCTACAGAAATTAAACCGTCAACTCTATGGTCTATTTATTTAATGCTTAAAAGCATGAAAAATATGAAACATAATATTAACGTTGGTATTTATTTAAAATCACAAGTTTTTTTTAAGAGAAAATCGAGTGGATTAAAAATAAAAATTGCAAAGTTTTGACTTCAACCGATATAAAAAATTCATTGACGAAGCTCCTGATATTCAATATTTGGTAAAAAGGTAGGTGAGCTAACATCTTTTTCTATATACTGGCTATTCATTCTCCGTTCATTTATTACGGTATATGTAATATTCATTAGTGAAATATATACATTAAACTTTTTTTTAGTTATAAAAAACGGTTAATGCATCAAGCAGGTTGGAAAAAACAAAATTGGAAATATGTCTAAAGAAATTACAATATATTTAAATTTACTGTATTCCCGAGAGGATACAGGTATTATTTTCGGCTGAACTTCAGCTACATAACTTACAGATTCAGAATCAGCGATTCTGCTGGTGATATTACAACTAGTGATGGGAATAATCAAATAGAATAATCGAAATAATGGTAACAGGCATATTTATCAAAAGCAAATCAATTAAACTATTCAAGAAATTGCATGTTTTATTCATTTCCCCCCTGGGTACTAAATTAAAAAGTCGACTATCCATCAATATTGTATTCTAATTGCTAAAAATAATAAAATTACTGAATTTAACTGAAGCTACAGGTACCTATTTGGTAAGGCACCCAGGTCTTATAATTTTTGAGAGTGACTACCGAGATTTTCCCGGTATCCCAGTGGGCCAGTACGCGCCTGTATGAGCTCAATTTTTATGGTATCGATATCACGAAAACTGTTTTATAAAGATCACATATATAGAAATATATAATTTACGAAAAATAATATTTTTAAGGTTCGCGTAGTAATGATTGTCATAAACTGAAGAAGAGCCAGTGTTTCCCAACTTTTAATACACCATGAACGTGTATTTTAAAGATAATATTATCTGATATCTAAGTAAAAAATAGTAAATAAAATTACGATTTACCGATTTTTAGCATTTGATCATCGGACAAAGAATGACCGACTTTTTACAATTTCTTAGAGTGGTAGTCTTAGAGTAGAGCCATATTCTTCCCCCCCCAAATTACGCCCCAGGAGTTATCTTATTGTATACACCATAAAGTAATATCACAGATATATTTATATAATATTCATATAATCTGTGGTAATAATATTCTATGGTATACACAGACACAAACAAAAAATAGTACAAATATATTCTTTGATTCTCTGCGAATCTCATATAAAAGTAAAATTAAGTATTGATTTATTTTATTTTTAACGAATTAAACGAACAATTATAAACAAAATATCCTTTCGTTATTGGACACTTCTGGGTAAATGTAAAATAATGCTAGATTATTTATTATCTCTACAGGAATATTCTGTACGAATTAAGCAATCACGTAACTAGTTAATTAATTGAATAATTATTCATAAAAATACAACAATTAGTTCGCTTAATGAGATTAACAAACAACTTTATAATAATGATACCAATTTGAACATACTATTTACTTATATTAAAAGTATTGCTAATCACATATCTAAACTAGATTGTCTAAATGCAGCAGCTAAGAATAAGAGCCATATCATTATTACAGTCGAATCATGGTTAGGAAATAATATTGATCAAAAATATATCTCGTCGAATAACTATCAATCTTCAATTTCTAAAAGTAATTTACGCAAAGCAGACGGAAAATGCACTATCTGTTTATTAACGCAAGAAAATTCCTAAATAATCAGTCTCTACGTTTAATAACTTTGTCATGGCACAATCTATTATACAATATGGAATAGCCGCCTGGGGTGGCTTAGGTATTATAGGAAGCAATAAAATATTCAAAGCTCAAAAAAAGCATAATTAAAATAATTTTAAGTAAACGAAAAACATATCCCACTAAAGATCTGTTTACTGAATTTAAAGATTTTACGACGCAACAATTATTCTACAGAAATGCCCTATATTACATATACAAATTTAATTTAATCGAGTTTAAACCTAGATACTATAACACATGTTAAAAAAAACAACTTAGAAATACCTACTGTTATATATTGAAATCTAGTCTTTCACATCTAATATTTTTCGTAAGTGGGTTTGAGATTATTAAACGATATTCTGCTGCAAATTATTAACAGTGCGTCTTTTAAAATATATAAACACTCTATTAAATTATCGTTGTCAAATAATATTAGTGACCTATACCCTATGTAATATACCAGTGTACCTATATAATATAGTCTATTTATCTATTGATATATCTATTTTTATTTTTGATGTACTTCTTTATATTATATTTATTTATTGCAATTTATGCTTTAATTACTATAGTTCTAATTAATAATTAGTTTTATAGGTATATCTATTTATGTTTTTGAATTATAGTCAAATATGACGTGGTTTTTTTACGAAATATCTAAAATATTATAAAATTTATAAATATATAACCTACTTAGCTCTTAATAGTATTCCGTCATCACAGATAAGAGGTTATCTTCAGTGGTGAGATGGGTCATCAAACCATGTTAAATATATAATCATTGTATCCTACTGAAATTGTATTTCTATTTTTTGGCCAATAAATATTATTATCATTATTATTGCTGTAAACGTGCATACTGGACAATATAGGGTCACATATAGGTAAAAATGATATTTATTTAAAACCAACATAGGTACATAGTAATAATAACTTAAAGATAAATAACACAATCGTTTGGAATATACAAGGTAAGAGTGAAAAAATAAAGAACTATTCTCCCACACCTAAAGCCGCGCTTCAGACCAACGTGTCCAACACCCGACAAGTGGCCGCCTGGTGGTGGTGGTGGTGCTGGTGCTGCTGTTGCTTGTGGTTTTCGATCAAACTCTGCTGCCGACCGTACTCGATGAAGCCCATCAGGTACTCGTTTTCGCTGTCCACGATGGCTGCCTCGTATTGCAGCTGCTCGATGAAGCCCAGCCGCGACCGCAGCTCCGTATCCGTGTTCCTTATGAGTAACGCGTTCTCCCGGTACATGCGCTCGGTGTCGGCCAATTCGACCTCGGCCTTCCTCAACTCGTCGAGCAGCTGGTCCCGGTCCCGGCACCGTTCTACGTTCACGTATAAGCGGATCATGCGCTCCTCGTGCTCGTACAGCTTTTTGTTGATCTTGACGATTCTCTCCAGGTAGCCGATGGCCTCGAGGGTGGACGATGACGGAGACGACGGTAACGTGTCTGTTTGCGCGGCCATCATGTCGCCGCTACCTTCGTCATCGTCATCGTCGTCCTCGTTCTCCATACTCGCGCCTTCCGTGATGCCGCTGTCCTTTTCTTCCTTATCGTCACCACCGCCGCTGCCGCCACCATTTCGGCCACCACCACCACTATCACCACCGCCACCCCCGTCGCCTAGGTACGCGTCCAGCAAGTAGTTCGAGCCCAACGCGTCCGATCGCGTCTTATGCGTCTCCGTCTCGATCTTCTCGATCTTCTTGTCCCGGTCTTGCAGCTTTTTCAGCTGCGCCCGGATCGTGTCGCTCTGCTCTAGTATGAGCTTCAGCAGCTCCTCGGCCGCCTGCGTGTTGCTCAGCCGCTTTGGGTGAACCGTCCTCGACGCGTACTTGACCACCTCCCGGCGGCGCTTTCTCTGCGCCCCCCGGTAACCGCTCATTTCGGATCCCGCGTCGTCCTCGTCATGCCATCCCACTGATGCGCCGCCGCTTCCACTCGTCGTCCTCTGCAAGCACAGCTTCTGGTCCGGCCGCAGGCTCTGCCAGATCTTCAGCACCCGGACGCCAGGGTCGGCCACCATGGTGCTTCCGGCGCGCGCACCGCACCCGTCAACAGCCACCGCGTAGTCACTGCCGTGGCCCGTCAACGTGGCCACCACGTCGGCACACGTTGTACGCCTGTCCGCATCGCTGATCCAAAGTTTTTTCTCATGTAGCCATATGGGAATCCTCTCGGCGGTCGTCATCTCCTGCGACAAGATGGACAACACAAATTATATAACACTATGCAGTTCGTACCGTCGCGCGTCATGAATTAAAATTAGCGAAAAATAAAAAAAATTCCGGGATATTTGTCGAAACGCGCGTAATATTTTTGATGTCGCTACAATAACACAAATAATTATGTCACATGACGTCGCATACTCAACGATTGTATGTAGTAGGTATTTTTTTTTAAAAATGTTTTCGAATCAAAACACATGTCAGCTAAATGTTTTCCGTAAACCTATAATCTCAACGTTTGGCGATCCAATTTAAATTGCGTGGATTCGAATAGTTCTCAGACGTTGAAGTGATCGGTTCCTACTACGCTATCTACATCGAGGATCATTCGAACGCGCGTAATTACTACTACCCGAATAATACGTACGAGTGAAGCGATTCGTCTTGTTATTATTATATAAGTTTCGAACAGTAACCGAAAAAACGAACCCCAATAATACACAGTTGTGCATATAACCTGTAATTCGGACCTGAAGTAGTCAATCGCGTGTAATAATTAAAGTCTCTGCGATTTGAATAACATACTTAAATAAAATATACTCGTATATTATATGTCGCCTCCGCTGCGTCGCTGCAATTGCGTTCCATCGGACACGAATGTTTACGTCGGTAACGGATTTTTAACATTTTTAATCATAGGTGTGTATTCCGGTAACCCGTCATAACCGCGAATCCAAAAAAAACGAATATCAAAGTAGCGACGGCAAAATAGCTAAGTATAAAATAGCTAAAAGCCATAATAGCGAATGTTCAAAACAGCTAAAGTATATTATTTTAAAATTATTACTCTTATTATTTATCTGTAGTAATAGTATTACGTTATAAAGATGCAGATAATGACAATTAGTTTTATAGCTGGGTTATCCAATATTATTATCTGGTCGGACCAGATATAATACCTAATAAAATTGGTCGATTAGATATAAGCACAATATTCGACAACGACAGTGTATGTTTAACCGCTCAGTATTGCAGTTGCATACTTCGTATATTATACAGTTTCACTTACTTTAAATTCATGTTGTTTAAAAATATCGAATATTTAATTTCACAAAAATTCACAAAAAAATAAACCACTCGTAAAATACAATGGGTTTTTTGTATCGGAAGGATTGTGAAAACTGCGAAGTTTCATATTGGAGATGTGCAAAAGTTGAAAAATGTCGTGGTAAAATTAACATTAGAAATGATTTGGTTATTAAAGATTCTTCATTCAAACATGTCCCTAATCCAGCTAAAATCGAAGTCAAAATATTAACTGAAGTAATGAAAAAAAGTGCTTTAACACAATCCAAGTAAAATTATTAGTGATATTGTAATAACGGCGTCATCAAATGTAATTCAAGGCAATCTCACTAGTGTATCAAATCTTAAAAGAATTTTTCAGCGAACTAGGCAACGTAATCAACGCTCTCCACCTAATCCACTAACTTTGAAAGATTTAGGAGAAATACCAGACATATATAAATAAACAAACAATGGAAGTAAGTTTTTGTTGTTTAATAATTACGAAATTAACGGTCCTACAAAAAATAGAATTTTAATATTTTGTACAAGTGAAGGGTTAAAGTTAATGTCTGCATCTGAACATTGGTTTGCCGACGGTACATTTAAGAGCGCTCCTTCTATATTCACACAAATATACACAATTCACGTATTGAAATATAATACTGTAATACCTGTAGTTTTTGCATTATTACCTGATAAAAGTACTGCAACATATTCTTATTTAATCAAAACACTAAAATCGCATATACCATTAAATCCTAAAACTATTATGACTGACTTTGAACAAAGTGCGATATTGGCATTTAAGGAAAATTTTCCCAATATAATTTCTCGTGGTTGCCACTTTCACTTAAGTCAATGTGTATGGCGAAAAATACAATCGATACCTACAATCCACGAAAAATATCTAACTGATGCAGAATTTTGTATTCAAAGACGATTGTTACCAACACTTGCTTATGTACAGCAACCCCCCCCCCGCCCGAAATATTTTAAAAAACTTAAAAATCATTTTAAACGTATGTTATATTTTAATGGTGCTTTATACTTATTTAGAATTTGCGTCTAATGTCAAATCATTTTGGGACATTCTGTAAATGAAATGTAGATAAGTACCTACTGTGTCTTATTAGTAATTCTTAGATAGCAGTGGTAATTTAACTCTGTCCATAGTAGCCCCTCCCGAAAATATTTTCTGTGTACGCCACTGGATATCAGATATCACCGTGTGTAGTGTAATAATGAATTAAATATTGCACAAACAATTTTTTCCAAACATAAACACAACTGTTTTCCCTGAACGTTTAAACCACAAATTATTAGCTTGTTTTCACCTCGAAGTCGTACCATGAAAGAATACTTAATCCGGTAACGGCTATGGCGAGGCCGGTATGCGTCGAATATTGATAAACCAACTGCGAATCCAATACTCTCATAACAGCGCAGTACGTTGTAATTCAGCAGAGAACCACCCCATCCCCCGTTCGCCTTCCAACGGCAAGACATTTCTTCGTGTGGTGATCGATTAACGAATTTTGCGTGTGATCACGAAAATGTATAGATTATACGGATTCAGGGACGGATCTAGAATATTTTGATTGGGGGGGGGGGGCACATATAAATTGTATAATGATTCTTTGATCATAATTAATAGTATATACTCTTATTTTTTAAACAAAATTCGTAATATATTTAATATAATGTAAATTACATAATATCACACACCAAGATAATAATTTATACCTATAGGCAAGTTATTATTCATGTATGTAGTCACTAATAAATAAAAATATCTTTATAGCTTTTCATACTTTATAGTCTTATAAGTCGAGTTGAAGTCTTCATTTATGTTTTTTAACAAACATATCTGTTCAGTTTAAATTTAAATAATTATTATATTAATAGGCAGTAGGTATCATTCTTATTTATTGTAGGTATTTTTCATTTAAACGATACTCGTAGTAACATAAAAATATTGTCGATAGAAAATTAACATGGGGGGCATGTGCCCCTGTGCCCCTCCCTTGAATCCACCACTGTACGGATTACATATGCCCTAAACGCGAATGCGTTTCCGCGTCAGTAACATTCGGCCGTTGTGTTTTTGTAGTTTCCGGTGAGGCCGTACCTACGTGTTTTATTCGTTCTTTTGTCTTGCATATTTTACCGTACGGAATATTAATACGGTTTCCGTTTCCGGAACCGTTTTTTTACTAAGAAGTTAATAGAATCCGGGGAAAGATTTCTGATTGAAAAAAAAATTGATTACGATTAGTTTTCATATCTCTTTTTTTTTTTCGACTCCTGCAGTACATCCCGCGGTTAGTTTTCGGTGGTTTTGTAATGTCAGTCATACACTATTATCTGCATGCGGATTCTGTAACATGTATTATTATCAAGTACATTCGTTGTCGTTAATGTTTGCGTTGTTGTGGTCTTCGCCGTACACGCCACTACGACCTATATTGCACATTATAATAGTATACGCGGCAACAATTTAAATAACCTATTAGCTGGTACTGGTGAAACCGAACACAATGTAGCTGCTGCGTAAATCGAAAGAGTAGTGCCTGTGTTCAATCATGATGGGGAATTATCGTTTTAACGGACGTCGAATGGTACCTATGTGTCTAAAACACAATTGATGGTGGACACGTTTGATCTTCTTTTTTTTCTCTCTACCAAAATGTCTCGGAAAAAAATAATGAATACGTTTATCGACACCAATAGGTTTCTGTATAACAGTGCATGCGTTCATTATAATGTTATGTTTTGAACGGGGGAAAAAAAAAATTGGAACACAATGTATACATCAAATGCGTGTTGAAACGTGACTTAATCCCCGCGCGAGATCCTTCGATTTCGTTTGGTATACCTAAAACAATAATTGTTTTTCGAAGATATTATTTCCATTGCCCGTGGTGGAAAGTATGCGGTCGATTTCACGATTTTCAAAACTTTAATTTTTTATTTAATTTTTTTCCATCAGAAATGTTTTTCTTTGTCATCGGTTGTGTTCGACGTAACGCTGAGGCGGCAGCAGTGAAAGCGAACGTTTTTTTTTTCACGGCGGCTCCGGCGTGAACAATAATAATAACGATTATTATATGATGACCACGGGGTAAAAACGTGTTGGCGACTTATGCGGCATATACGCGCGTATAATAAAACCTACATTTTTGTGATGTTTCAAGAAGATAATTCAATTTTCGGTCTTCAAATGATTGTATCCAAACTCTTTTCCATTCTTTTTTCTTTCTCTTTCTTAAAACCAGGCTTGCACTTATTGTGTATAACATTATTTCGTTAAACAGTGTTATTTTTCTCTTACGGGAAAACAACACTTCATTAACCATTGCAAATATACCCGTCGTGATGGTGTGTCATGTCGATTTTCCGGTGGATATCGGTCGGAAAGACATTTGAGTGTGAGGGGAGGGGACATTTTTCTCGCGCGCACAGTATACATAGCGTTTAAATGTGATATTGTTTCTGCGTCCGTACAACATAATAGCGCGCGTATTACATAAAGTATAATATACCCATTAATGTATACTCTAATGTACTTTCTAGTTTCTACGCGCTAAAAAAGAATTCGAAAGACCTATCGGTAATTAGCTGGCAGCAGCAACTAGTGTAATATCGTGTTGAGAAGTAATTTATTTTGATTTTTTTTTTTTTGCTTTTTGTTATTCGCGCGCTCCCGAAATACTTGCGTTTTCTCCCGACGAAACAATAGCTTAAACTAAACCGAACTTAATAATAATAATAATAATAATATAATGTCGTTTATTGTACGTTAACAAAAAATAAATTACACACTACCACATGTTTATATATATATAAATATACAGCCATATAGATACATATTAAATGTAAGTCGTATATAGCTGTACGTGCGTATTTACATACGGGATATTTCTCGATCTTTTTTTTCAGAATGATCATTATTTTCTTAACGTTTTCTGCTTATGGGCTGCCACAAAAGCACACATACACACATATTATAATATAATGTTTAGTTTATGATAGTTCATCATTCGCTGTATATTATATACAATTTAGATAATGCAGTAGAGTAGTGTTTCCAGAATACTTAATTCTTACTATAGGTTCTTCTTACTTAATACGGTTTAGTAGGTATTGATTTCAATTAAGTTTTTCATTAAAAATTAAAATTAGGTGTATTCTAAAACAATAACACCCATCACCATTCATCAGTATGACTGATTTCTATACATAACTAATTTTAATATGGACTAATAATAAGACAATTCCTATGCCTAGCTATTCCTATTAATTTATTTTATTAATTTATGTATATATCGTCCCCTTCTTCGTTTAAGACCTCTGTATCCGCTCTTGAGACCAACAAGTACTGCATTTTATCAAACATACCTATACTCAAAATATTAATATTCGTATCTATATATATTTTTTATGTACTTGCTATATTAATACGACATCATATACTTCAGGGCTCTCTACTGATTTGAATACGAGTAGAACAAAAATTAGAAGTAAGGTAGACGTTGATTACGACTTCATGTCGCTGGTTAATGTTTACAATACAGAAGGTTTCTATATTAAATAGGCATTAAAAGTTACAAGTGAAAATTAAATTATATATTGTTTCTTTCTTAAACTATTACTCCAAAATCTACGTATAAACTACGTTTAACATCGTCGACGAACGTGCGGCGTTGTAAGATAATTTATACGTAAAATGAGCGTTGTGCCCTGCGCAGACGAAGTTGTATAATAAACCTACCTGTGTATTATTGCGTACGTGATTCAAACGCGGCGAGGAGATCGGAAGAGATAAAAGAAGAAAAAGAAACGGAATTATTTAGTTTCGGTCGCGGAAAAATGATACGTAGGCATAAGTAACATAATCGGACGAACACCATAATATAATTGTGGTCTTCCGCGTGTATGTATAAAAAGTATTCACGAAACCAAGTGCGTGGTACAGATAACAGAGCCTACAATTTTTAATTTTTCGTACTACTCGGTACATGCCAAATAAATGTTTGAGAAGCTAATGGAACATGAATAATATATTTTTTTATAAAGTAATAATTAATGATGTAAAATATTACATATACAGATTTAAATAATAAAAATGCTATTATTATTTGAATGGACGGAGAAGAAAAAAGGAAATCGAATGTTGTACTAGAACAATACAATCAAACAAGGCCGGATTGGACAAATTCGGCCCACCGAGTTTTCTGTATGTTATCGGCTCACTTACTAACTGGCGGCCCTTGTCCAAATTTTTTTAATCGCATATTTAAATTGGTGCACTAATCTTCAACTTTAAACTATCAGTATATTCTGTTAGTGGCCTTTTACAACTTAAAAGGCCAAAAATTGTCGCGGCCCACCGAGTTTTGCTCAGTAACTCGCCAGGCCGTCCGGCCCTGCAATCAAAAATATTTCAACATATTATATTTTTATTTTTAGTAAACTGTACGCGATACAGCGCTTTTAACTTTAAATATCGAATCCAAATTTATAAGTTAACACATACAACATCACCTTAACCTTATTATTATTACTATATTATCAGGTCATCTCAAATAAAAAAGAAATAAAAAGCTAAATCACCATTGACACCGCAGCGATGAATTACAAAACAATATTTTATCTATACGACGATTCATCAACAATTATAATATTTCTTATACAATTTTACCACACGATTTCAAATTTCGTAAAGTGCACACCATATTAAAATTTAGTGCTGCACACAAAGTGTCGTTTTGGTGCGCACAATTTTACGCTCTAATACAGTGTTATGTATAGTGTAATAATTCAACCTATACCACGATCGTAAAAACCAAATTCGTACCGTCATTTCTTCTCGCAGTACGTGTTATAGTGGTGTTGTACACGCGTATGACACGTATTTTATACCGTACTCGTTGCATGGCATTATTTTCGCCGCGCCGCACACGTTCGCGACGAAACCAATATCCATTCCGTCAACGCGCACTCAGCATCCCGGTCGAACAAGACGGTGTGGGGACGTCGACGGCGGTGCACACGGACGCGTCGAGATTTATTATTGTACGCGTCGAGAGCATTGTTTGTCTCGTCTGTTTAACGACGACCGAGTGTTTATCAGTGGCGCCGCGGCTCGTACTCGGCGGGGCGACGAAGTGTACGGAATCGGTTACTGTCCATTTGAGTCGGAGCAAAATAATGACCGGCCGCACGATGTTTACGTACAGCAAATTCAACCGCCGCAAGGTTACGAACTACAGGGACGGAGTGCCCCATAAAACACGTGTCCGGCGCCGCCGAGTGTTTTGATGTGCGCAGGGACGATAGGGGATATACCCCCCATGGGTTTATTTCTAGTCTTATACGTTTAAAAACATATTTAAGAAATACGTTGGAGCAGTCACGGGTGTTAATGAACATATATCGGAACATTCCATTATCTACAGAACAAATAATTGAAGAATTTAGTGTAATAGCCAGAAAGATGAATTTCCGCCTTGGTTGCATTTTTTTTTGTATAATAATAAAGAATAAAGATTGAAAATAATACATTTTTATTTATGACATCCCCTCCTCCCATACCAAATTCCTGCACACGCCACTGGATGTACTCGTACACGCGCTGCAGACGGAAAAGATGAAGCGACAGAACATACTTTAAGTAATTTTCACTTTAATAAAATTGTCTACCGCCGTAGTTCATAGACGTGGTGTTCTTCTGCAGAGAAAATTAACTTCTGTCACTACGGTCGTTATGAGAAAGTGTTGTTTGTTATTGGCACGATCACCCACCACTACTGGGTAGCATTCAATTATCACTGAGGTGCACTAGTGCTTTGTATGTTAAAATATGCTCTGTGAAGCAAGATCCAGTAACGCTGCGCTTTTCAAATGGTATTTTTAATACGCCGTCATCGCATTGTATTTGCCATGTTTACGATATATATACATTTTTATATCTGCCACCGGGGCGAACTGAGGCCCTGAAAGCACAGGTGAGTATAAGTTTTGTAAATTAGCGAACAACTGACTAGTGTTACATGAGTTACAATTAGCTTTAATTATAGCTTGAGAACCAAACATAACATTTTTGAAGGGCCTGGGTGGGCTATGGCCACCTACCCACCCTGTCAGTTCGCTCCTGATTTGCTACGTCGTTGTTGAAATCTGCTCTATTACACCGCGCAACGGATTCAATATTATACCGAACGCCGTCAGCGTTTTCGTTATTTTCCGACCGGCGCGATTTCAAAAGTAATATTTTGCATTCGACACGGTAATAATAATATCGAACGCTATTTGTGTCCAACACATTCGGTTTTTGACGCTGCAAATGTGTTGCGCAACAAAATCTTTCGCATTTAAGCACTAAACGTGTCCGTAACATAACGACATGGAAATATATGCGAAAACAATGAAAAAAAACTGTTTTCCACGCGCCGTTCGCTCGCAACCATATCGTATACGCGCGCAAATTTCCACGTACAACGAATGTAGTGGTGTAGAATTATTTGTTGATCAGTCTCCGTTCTACTGATATGCGTCTATTCCGTTTGTTTCCTCATCGTTTGTAAAAAGTATTGCAAACCATGATTTATATCTATGAAAGTGATAAGGATTTTTAAAACCGATTTTAATTCGTTGTAAAGTCTTCTTTAGATCGACGTTCTCACGTTTTTAAAATTTTTTACTTAACATACACAAAAATTAATTTTTATGTTTCCAATTTGATTAATCCTACCTATTTCGTGAAATTTAGGGAGACAAAATTAAAAATGTTGGAAAGTAGATCCAAAGAAGACTTTATGAGGAATTTAAATCAGTTTTCAAAATCCTTGTCGCATCATAATCTTGCAATCCATTTTGCAATCTCCTCAATTCATTACGTACGATCAATAATAATCGCACTGAAAACCCGACCGAAAACGGTAGTACACCCGCGTTCGGTATTTCTCGATGACCGGTCTATGTTGTCAAATCCATGTTTGAAATTTCGAACACGAACACGTGTTCGCATACGAGGTGGGGTCGAGACGGTCTAAAATTACCGAATACCCGGTGCCCCGCGAGCGTGTAAACGTATAACAACGCGCGCCTCGCCGAAACCTAACTCAACGCCGATTTGCCGCACCAGGCGTTACCGAACGGGTGTGCTCGTGCGTGTGTAAGCCACATTTCTATAAGTATGTATTTATTATAATAAAGTGTCCGTTTGACACCACGCGCGTAGCCCGAGTGTTATTAAGATAATAACGCGTTAGCGTAAACCTGGTCGACGGTACTACGCATGGGTTATATATTACGTGTAGGTTATAACGTGCGTCCGGGTACGGTAATAAAACGTAAACGAAGGTGTTTATACGACGGAAAGGCTTTGAAATCGGTCGGGACGTAGACGTAAGAACGAACGTGCATTATGTGCGTATCATAATCATAGGCGCAATTAGGGAGAGGGGGATGGAGGGAATAAGCCTCCTTGAAATCATTCAAAGCCCCCCCAAAAACCATGCAGAACTTTATATTATTATATTGATAAATAAAAAAAAAATATGTGATTACTACTGAAAAAAATGGAATTTATTTTTATTTTTAAGTTTTACTTGCCTTTCAATAAGCACATTTTTTTATAAAGGGTGAAGGATGAAAAAAAAGTTTCTCTGAGACAATGATTGAAAAATATATGGGAGGAGCTGAAGACCCCTCAAAAAGTTTACTCCAATTGCGCCTATGATCGTAATGCAATAGCAATAACGCGCAGGATGATTGTTTCGACACGATCGGTCTGTGTCCACTGCGGAACAATTGAACTACACGAGTGACCATCATGTTCTACAGTGTTGATGTTGATGTTTTCTCACTATTACGCGCGAAAACGTTTTCATCCCTTCCGTACGCTGCTCATGAAAACCGTATCTAACCTAACCGGTTTTCGAATAACAATATGTAGATATACTTGTAGAATTTTATTTACATACATTTCTCAAAGAGATTAATTTTTTTCTTTTCGAAAACCAAGGGCGTATTTGAATATGAGGTCATGGAGGGAGGGGGCGAAACTAATTTTTCTTCAATACAAACTTAAAAATAATTTACAGTTGGCTGTATCACATTTGTGCAATTTTTTCTTTTTTGACCCGACTAATTACACCACGATTGCGCCCCGATCCCTTTTTATCTGATAAAATCACAACACCATTGCGAACCAAATAATAATATATTTAAATACTATGTATAATAATTTATGAATAATATAAAATAATTATTAATTCACAAAATGCACTTTTTTAAATCGAAATAAAAAATTGATTGAGCTAATGATAGTTATAATAATAATATCGACTAATGACTATCAGAAAAATACATACTTTCTACATATCATTTTCATATACATACGCTCAAACTTATTACCTATTAATTCACAATTTTTCTTCCCATTTACTACAGGCTTAGGATTGTCAACTAATTATCATCGTTGGCTTGGTTAAAAATTGTTTTTTTCTAAATTACATGTATGATAAATATATATACTGTCATGGTCAATAGTTGAAATATTTTTTATTAAAAATTGTTTTTTTTTCTTAACTGATAGCCATTAGTCGATATTATTATTATAACTATCATTAGTTAAATCAACTTTTCATTTCGATTTGAAAAAGTGCATTTTGTGAATTAATAGTTTTAGTGCATATTTATGGAAATTATATAAAGTATGTATTGTTTACATTATTTTATGTTGTACAAAAATTATTATACATAGTATATACACATAATTTGGTACGCAATTGTGTTGTGATTTTATTAGGTAAAAAGGGATCGGGGCGCAATCATGTTACAAATTTTTTGAGATACACCGTTTACAGTTCATTACAGGAGCATACTCAAGGGGGGGGTTTTCGGGTCCGGACCCCCCATTGAAATGTCTACATACTCAATGGCTTAATAGTAAAATATATATCGCATATTTTAATTTCCTATTATCTTCCATAAATAAAGTTTATAGATTATATAATATACCTATAATGTATAAACCATATTTTATTAAACCATGTTTAATTTGTACTGTTTTTTAATATTATTTATTATTGTTAATTAAATAATGTATTTTTTTATAACATTTTTACAACAAAAATTGATTTCAAATTATAGTACCTACCTATTATAGTAAACCTTTGGGCAGAATATGTGTGATATGTGTATAACTATTGTGACTATTACTATAGTTATTAACAGTAATTAGTTGGTATTGAATTTAACTATAATTATGATTAGAAAATAGATAAAATAAAAATGTTGGATTCCCCCCCCATAAAAAATTCCTGGGTACGCCCTTCGTTCATTACCTACAGCTCATGTTCCTATTGCACATTCCAGTGAGTAAATAAAAATACATGTGCCAAATTGAATTAAATATTTA